GTACCGACCACAGAAACCATTTTCTTTTCATTAGGGATAATTTCACTTTTGATTCCTTTATAACTGATAAATTTTTATTTGGTCCTTGTACTATTGACCAAGCATATTTAACCTTCATTTTTTTCCCCCACCTATTTAACCTTCAGTTTATTGAAATGTGTCTTTGGTCATGTTACATAGGAAATATGTTAGATTTCGATTAATTTTCAATCTATAATACACTTAAAATATGAAGTAACAACATAAATTTAATATAACAAATGAGTAATTAAACGGTTTAATAGTTAATAATTAGTTAATTGGTGAAGGTTCACTAAAGACCCCAAAAATACATATTTTAATTAATTAGAAATTAAATGCGCTTAATCAGATATGATATCACAAGTAAATATTATAGTTTATCAATATTTCAAGGACTAAAAGCACAAGTTGAAAGTTAGACAAAGAAATAGTAACGCAGAGTTAATTCCTCGAATGGTCACTTAACTTGATAAATTTTACCTATCAAAGTCAATTTTCTTTATTTTATAATAAACAAATTACGAAATTATTCATTTATTTTTTCAAAAGTCATATACACCCATAAAAAGCATAAGAACCACTGAAACAACCTCTTTTAATAAAAAGAAATAATTTTATCCAACCGTGAAAATATAAATTTATTTTTATATGTAGAAACTCTAGGCTCAACCACCAACTCCTGCACTCTTTTGATGTTCAAAACCTTATCGTTGAAAAATAGAGTCATTTTTAAAAATATAATAATAAAGATAGTTTATCTATTTAAATAATAAAGATAGTGTAAAAAGTTTTAAAAGTTTAATCTATTTTTTGGTAGTCAAACAAATCTCTTTTCATATCTAAATTAATATCAACACTGTTAGTAAGTATTATTTTTCCATCACTCTAATAATTATTCTGGAACATATTTTCTACTCCTCAGCATATATCTATATATTAGAGTCATCATTACTTTTAAAAATTAAAATTAACATATGAGTTATTAGTGCTTTATCTTTTTATTTTAGAAAAAACTCAAAACTATATAGTATACTCTAAATAATTATGAAAACTACTAAAGTACTTTAAAAAGGTGTAATAATTAGATAACCATTAGTTTTGTTCGCCTAATATATATACGAAATTATTCTCATGGAAATGTCGCAAGTGTATCTGTTAGTTAGAGTTTCAATAATTAATTTAACATAAAAAATTTAAAATCTATAGAAGAAAAATAGGAGTGAAATTCTACTTATTTTTTTTAAATTTAGGTTAAAGTTAAACTTATCTCAATTCCTTAATTAATATTTCTCTTATCTAATTCATAGTTACTTGAATATTGTGGATGTACTTCAGAATTGAAATGATAAAAATGCTAAGCCAAGAAAGTACTTATGTAATAGCATTAAGGGATAAATATATACAATTTGAGGATGGTTAAATTATTATTTTTTTAATATAAAAATTGGTTTTTATGGTGGTGTATGACTTCTGGAGAAACAAATAAATAGTTTAGTAACTTTTTTGTCTTAAACCAAAGAAAAATAATTTTACTAAGTAAACTCGATAGCAAACACTAGTTCCTGGTGTGACTTCATAAAAATCAATCGAAGAGAATGAAACACACGTAGTGGTTATTATAGTGGTTCCTTCTTTTCCTAGAAAACGTCTGAAACAACCTGCTACAAAATTATCGAGCAGGGATAAAAATACGATAAATAGATACATAATTTTGAGTGTGATCAGACAATCAAAAATCAGAAAATGACAGAACGGCCTGTGATTGAGTGATAAATTGATCAAATTGAATAATCATCTAAGGTTAATACTCCTCTTTTGCATCATTAGAGTTTGGAGTTTACATTTCTGCTGTTAATTTCATATTCAACTTTCTAGCAATTAGGTAGAATTTGGAGCCTATAGGATGACGTTGGCCTTTACCACCCCATATAAGTAAGAATGAAAAAACCATTCACATCAATTGCTAAAGAAATTGGAAGAGCCTTAAATGAATAATATGTTATATTAATTCACACACCACCACAATAATAATAATAATAACCTTATCAAAATAATAATAATAATAATAATAATAATAATAATAATAATAATAATAATAATAATAATAATAATAATATCTCTTAGCACACTTCTTTTTTTTTTGGTGGATAGAGAGATTGGAGTTACAGTTACACCGTGGCTGAGAATCACATTAGCTAAAAGAGAGATGAAATAAAAGGACTTTGAGAACATAGTTTAGTCTAAAGTTGTATTAAAAAGGATATGGCTTAACTACTATTAATAAAGTGGGCAAAAATTATGAGAAACTAAGGTATCCAAATTTAAGGAAGCAGTAGATATTGAAAAGTGACAGGAAAAATTATGAAAAACTAAGGTAATTCAAATCTAAGCAAATAGTGAATATCGAGTGGATGTGCCACAAATATAAAGAAAATCTATAGTTAATTCACGTCATGGTTCAAGTTTATCCGAAATGACATTATTGAAGTAATGAGAATGACTATATATTAATTAATCCAATTAATAATTGAGAGAAATATCTGGTATAGATTAGCCTCCTTATATGTGGTCCATCCTATTGATTTTTCAAACAGTGATAAGCTTCCACCTATATGACTCTATCACCATCATAACTAAGAGGAGAAATTTAACATTCACTCTCCTAAGAGCAAAAAGACATAATCTATGTTGAGTGTCTTCTCTCAATAAAATCCCACATTACTCTCTATGACTTTTCAATTCCTAAAAGAATAAGAACTCTACGGAATTCCAAACTATTTAAACCAATTCTACTGTAACAACTCCTTGCTAATTTCATTCAGTGAAAAATGGATCTTGAAACTGAGTGGGAACTTCTTCCTAATAATGGACTTCTTGAAATCCATGATTATGGATTTAAGAAATATGATTCTCAATTTGTCGACTCAACAGAACACTCTAGAGTGCCAAATCAGCTAATTATTCCACTCCCAAATCAGCTGAATCCAAATTCACAAAAAATCCAAGAAGATGATGAGGTTATTAAAGAAGTTATCACCAAGGTTCCAGTTGAGGTAAACATGTTACCATCTAAGCATTTCTAAAAAAGATCAAAGCTCCAGACTTGGTGGCATTGAATTGTGAGAATGATTCCTTTTAATCTAAAGTCATCTCACATGTGGGCATAATTGTTTTCTATTGAACAAATATGCGAAGATATTTTTTGCTTTTTTGGCTAGTAGTGAGATTTGAATCCAGTACCTCTTGTTTGCTCTAATATCATGTTAAAGTTATGTGATCTCATCGAAAAGTTTAAAATATTAAAGAGAGCATACTTTAATTACTTACGTATATTGTATCTCAACAGGGAGCAACTATGGTGGAAAATGAACAAGATCAAGTGTCACAAGTTTTCTTCAAGAAAATGAAGGAAACAGAATATGAAAACATGAAATTGGACTCACCTAAGTTCAGTAACAAGACTTTTGTGTCTCAAATTGATTCAGATCCTTTGCAGTTTGAGGATAAAGCTGAGGTAATTGACAAAGAGAATGTGATCAAGAAAAGGGAAAACATGGAAGCAGATATTGAAAAGAACAATGGTGGATTGAACATATGGAACTGGAGCTTGACTGGAATTGGTGCTATTTGCTCCTTTGGGATTGCTGCTGTTACCATTTGCATCTTCATAGGAAATCACCAAAAACAGAAACAAAATAAGCAGAATCAGAAGCTTAACTTTCAATTTTCTGATGACAAGGTTTGTCTAAATTTCCATTATTTTTATTTACTGCTTTGATATCCTTTTTTGGTGGATCTTCTTGATGCAACATCAACAACTATAGTACTGAATATTACTGGTTTACCAAAAACAAGTATGTAATTGGAAGAACTTAAATTCACCCTACTGAATACAACAACATACCAATGTGATCCTACAAGTGAGGTCTAGGGAGGGTAGAGTGTACTCAGACGTTACCCCTATCTTGGGTGAGATAGAAAGAATGTTTCAGCTTAAGAAAAACGTTTTCAAAACATGTTTGAAAAATACAAGAGAAATTCACTCTGGTGGATGAGATACATATAAATAGTCAATAGTCAAAATATAGCTTTATGGATTGATCATTAGGAAAACTTTCCTATAAGTAACTTCTGTATCTATAACAAGTTTGATATGGTAACCTGAAAAATAGAGTACACAATTTGGTGTAACAAGTTGAAATAAACCGATATTACAAAAAAGTTTTGTAAGTATTAGTCTACATAAGTTAAATATAGACCCTTAGACCCTTGTGGTCCGGCCCTTCTCCGGACCCGGCGCATAGCGGGAGCTTAGTGCACCGGGTTGCCCTTTTAGTCTTCATAAGTTAAATCTTATTTTCTGGTATCTAGTAATTGTGAAATGTTCAATTATCATTCATCATATGCCTCTGCAGTCGTTTCAACTAACTGATCTAACAGAAGTGTTATATATATGTGGAACTGCAGAAAATGAAGCAAGTGGTTCAGCAGACAACAGAATTGAATGAAACAATTTGTGGAGTAAGTGGAGTTCCAATAACCAAGAAACGCATAACAGACGTTGAGGGGTTATTATTACGCTCCTTAGAGCATATTCAAGACTGTTTATCAGTCTCATGAATCATGTTAACATTTCAATATTCGATCCCAGTATCTAAACATAGGAATACAATATACAGATGTATATATTCTGGACTTAATTCCCAGATTATTCCATGAGTAATTTGTAGTAAAGTCATATGTTTTGTAACTGTGGAGTTTGATTCAGATAATAGACAACTATTTCAATAATGCATTGTTTCAGGCATAACTTGTTTTCAAACCAACCGACACCGGAAAGTTTATGCTTTGAGTAGTGCTAAGTGTAAAGAGTTTCTACGCTGACAAATCTTACACAACTAATAGAAGCAACAGCACAATTAATCATCAAATCTAGGACAACCATTAACTAATCATTTAATTGACAACAAAAACAGCCAAAAATTAAATCTTTAACCAATTTAGATATCATAACCAGTCCAGAAAATCTTTCCCGCATAACCAACAGGGAGTTACAAGAAAATCATAGTAAGACTATCAAAATGACATATTCCTCAGTAAGGGGAAAAAGGATGATTATTACAGACACAGTACATGTGGGCATATATTAACATTATTCCAGAAACTACCACAGGGTGTGACGGATTGATAGGATCCCTCCGCTCTTTAGCAAAGATGTCCGACTCAAGTCCCATTTGGTAGGAAGCGCTTCCCCTGTAACGAGCATACACAACACGGATCCAGATTAGTCAAGCCAGTAAGTATCGGATACGGGAAGGTTATAAAACAAAAGATTATTCAAGTAGCATGTGGTGTGAATCTTGGACATTTAAAACAGACCAGAGGAGGGAAAAGAGAGATATGTGTTAGGCAGAGGGAAACAAAAGAAAGTCCAGAGACAGAGTGTGAAGCGATGAAGCTGTTGAAAGGGGTAACAAAAGATTAGATAAAGAACTTGATCACTGCTTAGTCTTTCCGGATTGCAAGCTATATATTGGCAAAAATCTGCAGATAAATTCGCCACACTCACCACCACTGGACTGTTAAAAACCATTGCTTTTAATTTCTCTCTCTTCTTTCTCTCTTTTGCTGAAAATCTCTGTCTGATTCTTGCTTTATGGTTTTCATTTCGTCTTATTTTTTAAACCAAAGTAACTTTACTAATTAGAATATTGTGGAATTTGGAAGCCAAGTGGGTGGTTAAGTGACGTAGGCCATTTACATTTGGCAAACAGCTCTTTTTTTTATTTATTTTTCTTTTTGACGGCATTTAGCATGTTTTTCTTTATTCTTTTATGATTTAATCAGTCAATAAAGTAATAAGAGCCAGTAAATGTGTGACTAATCCTGAGAGTTGTTGTTGTTTCACATCATTAATAAAAGTAAAGAATTACTATTAAGCAGTGAGCTTCCATTTGAAAAAGTGGAGCTGAACTTACATTTTCTAACTTCAGATATTATGCAGGCACCAGTCTTTGCAGAACAGTATTGGCATCATGTTTGGAACTGAAGGAACGCACTAATCTAAAACAAGAACTTACTAGTTCGCGTAGCGGAAGCGGAAGGAATGGATGAACCGCGGCTGGAATTATCGATCGGTGGTGATTGTCACAGTATATTGGATCAACCCCTAAATCAGGGTCTAAACCCTAATGATATGCGGTAGAAAATAGGATTCTTTGAGAGTCTGCCTCTCTTCTATATTTAATTCTACACTTTAGGTGTGCTTATATAAACAATTAGGGTTAAAATAATTACCTTAATGAGCCTTAGAGCATCCCTTATGGGCAGACCCAAAATTTCCGGCATGAACTTTTCAGCTTATCTTATTTTTTGTCAATTCACTACCAAACATGTCACAACATTCTTGAAGTTTGACGGGGTGACACCATATAAAATAGGTCTATTTCCAGTTTCAGCTCTATAATATAGTCACTAACATCAAAATCATTACCAGCAGAAGAACTGCTCGTGGAAACAAAGATATCTTTGACATCATTTCATTTCCGAGAAGTGAAAGGTAAATTAATCACTAAAGAGTAAAAAAAAAATAAGCAAGCTGCATAATTTTAATTATTTCCACTGGTGAAAGTCCTCAGCACAAGACGCCTTTGCTAAGAGAATTCAACAAGAATATCTTCTTGGTAGTGTAGATTCTCCATAAAAACATGGAATGTCAGACTTTCTTGTTTTCTCTGCTTGAAAAACCTTGAACTTATAAGGAGACTCTGGCATTCAACATTGTCTTCAAGAAAGTGGCAAATTGATGAGTAGCATATTCATCATCTAAGTAACACATCTAACTAGTCGGAAGAAGCAAGCCAGCCGACTGTAGTACATAGATGAGATCATCTATGTAAAATCTAAAACTGATGATATCAAACAGAAAATGTAATGGTAGAAACAGATGGAGAGAACTAAAAATTCTCTGTAATTCCCATCTGTTGAGTCTTTTCTTGTTATATGGAGCAAGCGCGATCGCTAAGCTTCCAAAAAGCCTCTGTCTTCCATATAAGAAACTACTTGCCCAGCCATTTCATTTGGTGCAGGAACTAATCCATCTTTTTGTTGTATTTCAATCTAACAAGAGAAGCAAAAAGTAAAAAAAAGTGAAAGATATCAGTTCTGAACACAAGTTATTATGAAAAAAACAGAAGGGAGTTAACAATTTCTTCAAAGCTTAGCAGCCAGCAGAAGTAATATAATACATACCTCACAATTCAAAGGCGGTTCATAAGGATCATCTATTCCAGTAAAACCTGGGAATTGAGGTGCTTAAATTTCTATAATAATTTGAAGTACTTCATTTCAGTAATAAAGTCAAAGATATCATTTCACCACCAATTAAGCAAATCCAAACTATGAATTATAAACCACTACACTACAGTACTTTGCAAGCAAATGATGCTTACTATATAGTGAGATAATTCACTCCGGTTCCAGATTACCAATAGAATTCACGACTCAAATTGTCAGTCGTCTGAGTAACATATTTCAAATTAATGCTTTTTTAACTTTTATTAACTTAAAACACCATGGCAACAAGGATTCCTCAGATAGTTTACAAGTGTAATTTTCTCCACGACAGTTGTAGACAGATGCAATTTACTCCCTCCGTTCCAGTTTATGTGAACCTATTTCCTTTTTGGTCTGTTCCAAAAAGAATGACCCCTTTCTAAATTTGGAAACAATTTAGCTTAAACTTACAATTCTACCCTTAATGAGAAGATTTTATAACCACACAAATACTCTGGGCCCCTTTTTGATTTGTTTAGGACCACAAATTTCAAAAATCTTTATTTTTCTTAAACTCCGTGCCCAGTCAAACAGGTTCACATAAATTGGAACGGAGGGAGTATTATTTAGACTTGTTGTAAAATTCTGTATCAAATAACTAAACATTGTAATTTCATGATTACCAGTGCTGGAGCCAGGATTTTTATTAAGTGGAGTCAAAATATAAAGAAACAAACTCACCAAGAAGTCAAGGGGTGTCATTATATAGTATATATACATATTCTTAAAAAAATTACCGAGCTAAACAGTGTAATTTTCTGACGAAGGGGTGTCGGCTTGGGTGCATGTGGCTCCGCCACTGTACTTGAGTTAATCATCAATTTTAGGAATCCAGATTCATACATATATTGATATTCGGCCAAAAATGCATATATTTACCCATTGTTGCCTCACATTTAGTACTTTTAATAGTCTTTTGAGTGTTAATTATATTACTTTATGCTTAATAATATATTTTAATTGTGTAGGAAAAACGGTGTGAAGATGAAAAGATTTGGAGCAAAGTAGAATAAAACGCGGAAGAAAAAGAAAGAAAATTAAAAAAGAAAAAGAAAAAAAAGGGGGACACCCTTTAGTGTTTGTCCCCCCTAGTGCAAATAAATAAAAACGTAATTGGCTTCAAGGAAGGAATTGGAGGCGAAAAACTCACTGCTTTCAGCGCTAGGGCCAGTGTGAGGCGCTGGCCTGGACCCTGCGTGACGGGATTTTTCCTACTTTGCCCGGGACAAGATTATTTCGGTCCTACACGGTCCTGACTCGTATATAAGGAGTCATAAACCTGATTTGAAGAGGATCTAACATACTTTGAAGGGGAATTCACGTGGGGGAACACACACCACGCTTGGAGAAGGCTTCTAACTAGTTTTTCTTCTCTTCTCTTCTCTTCTTTTAATTTCATAGTTTATTAGTTTTAGAGTTGTGGGGTGTTACATGAACGTTGTAATCGAAGCTTAAATTGTTCTTATTATTTTATCATATTGGTTTATTTATTCAATCTTGCGCTTAATTATTTGATTGCTTGATCACCAATGAATACTATCTACGAATCTAGGACTGAACTCGAGAGAGGGAATTCTAGATTGCATATAAGATAGTAAAGCGAGATCTTGAACCTGAGTATCGGGAACGGATTTGTGGTTAGGATCGGAATATACCTAATCGCCTTGCTTGGTTATTATACAGGAATTATTAATGCGTTCTTGTTTAGGTTAGCTTGAATAGGCGAGTTGTACTTCGCCTCGCCTTGCTTAGTAATATTAACTCTGTCAACAAATAAATCAGATAATATAATTAGACAATAGGAAGACTCAACGGGATTGTTAGCTAACCTATAGTTCTAGAATATCGGCTCCCATTGAATTCTTGTCTAATTTCGCCAACTTGTTTCTTTAATCTCCTAGTTTGTTACTCTAGATTAGTTTTAGTTAAAGATTCATACTTTAGAAAATCGCTTGAATAGATTATTTTCTTTAGTTTAATATAGTAAATAGTTAATCACAAGTCCATGTGGGTACGGTATCTAGATTTACAATTTTATATTACTTGTCGACCACGTATACTTGCGTATGCGTTTGGGAGCAACAAGTTTTTGGCGCCGTTGTCGGGGACTTTAAAATTGACTATTTTGACTTTTATTTTTTTTCTATTCAAGTTTTTAATTTTAGTTTAGTGTAGTTAGTATTATATTTGTTTTTACATGGCATCTTGGAATGAGAATTGGTCGAATATTAGTTATTCTTATTTTGGTGATCCCTGTCCATATTGTGGAGGACCACACTTATGGCAAAATTGTGAATCTCAAACTTATGAGTGAAATTTTTGTAATGTGTGTGGTTGTCAAAGTGGCCATTGGGAAGGTTGTCCTAATTCTTTTTACCCTTCTCTGAGCCCTTATTATGATATTTCTAATAATGTTTATGAGCTTGATAGGAGCAATGAAGTGGAGGATGTAGAACGTGTTGCTCGTATTATGGACATGATGAGGCAAGTAGCCGAGCAACAAGATGAAAATCAAAAGGCTATACAAAGAATTAGTGTAGCAATCATGAGAATGAAGGGCGAGGCGGACGAAGTGGCTAAAGAGAGCGAGTTCCCACTAGAAGATAATTTTGAAGAAGCAGATATAGTGAGCCAATCTTGGCTAGAGGAACAAGCTCAACTGAAAAACATCCCATGAGTTTCTTCGTGATGGTCTTTCAAATATGACAGAACAACTGATAGAAGGAAGAACTGAGCTCAGGTAAGAGATAGACCAATTTGGCTCAGATATCCATGACCTGCAGGCTAAATTGAATAAAAGGTTGAGGCGTCTGATGCCCTACAACCAATTGTTGTGGATAATGGATAGCTTGTGGAGCGAAAAGAGGAATTCCAACTATTCAACCAAAATATTATTGATGATGCCAAGGTTGAGGAAGTGTGCAAAAGTAAGGATGTCAAAAGTGAAGCGATTTTAGAGTTGGAGCGCATCGGACCTCGTTCTAACCATTTTTCAACATTGTGCTTGGTTGGTGACACGAGAATTGATCCATTCGAGCCTATGGAAGAGTCAATGAATGGGGAACAAAGTGCATGTATTCTGAAATTTGTGATGCCAAGGAGACAAAACGACATCCCTCACTTAAAGGCCAAGAAGTGCAAGATGCGATACCTATTGCTTGGTTTCTTATTTTTACACCACCGCCCCAGGAACGTGATAGAAAAATTGATGCAAAATAGGGAGCGCAATTCATTTCCTCAAAGTGGAAGGAAAAGTGATGAAGTAGTGTAAGTCGTGCCACGACTATAAATAAGGCGCTTATAGGAAGACAACCCAATTTTTTATTTTTTATTTTTAATTGTGTTATCGTTGTAGTGTTTGTGTTTTGTAAGAGTAGGAGCATGGAATAAAGCCAATAGGCGTATGCAAAAGCGAGCAGGCGGTTGGAACTAAGTATGGGGTGCCCGCACAAAGGACCATACTGGGAGAAGTCTGAGTAGGAGCATGGAATAAAGCCAATAGGCGTATGCAAAAGCGAGCAAGCGGTTGGAACTAAGTGTGGGGTGCCCGCACAAAGGACCATACTTGGGAGAAGTCTGAGTATCCCGTGAGCTGCTAATACTTCGGCCTTTGGCCTACCAGTGAGTCTCTTTTACCCTCTATTTATTTATTGGATGTATTGAGTACATTGCACAATTTTAAGTGTAGGGTGAGGAGATTGTCTTGGTGATTTTCCGTGCTATCCTAGTTTAGTTATAGTACTCTTTCTTAGTGTACTAGTTTTTGTGTAAAGAAAAAAAAAAGGAAAAAAAAACGAAAATTGAGAAAAAAAAAACTTCAGAAAATTTAGACTTTTCCCGATGATGGATTTTGTGGACAAATTTCTTGAGGTATTAAGGTCCAATGAAAAATAAAATCCAAAAATATTTTCTTTTGGTTTCTAGTTAGTTTTAGTTAGATAATAATCCCCCTTGGTTTTTCTTTGTGCATCGATTCTTTTCCAGGGGATGTAACTTGAACCTGGTAAACTTTTTATTTTTATTTTAAGGAATAGATTTTTTTTAGGAGTAGTAAAAGATGGAGAAGAAAAACATTGTGACTTGTTTGATACTTGCATATTTAGGCCTGAGCTTGAGTGAGTAATGAATAAAATAGCATATTTTGTTGTTCGCTATGATCCTCTCTATCTTAGAGTAGAATTGATCCATCTTGATTGATACTTGTTCCATGGGGGTGAAGTATTTCTTACATATATTCCATGTTTTGCATCTTAGTCTAGAACTTGCCCTGCATGTAATTGAAGCGAAATAAAAGTGTTGCTCTGTTTAGAAGATGATAGTAGGTTTTCTTTGATATGTGAATTTTAGCCTTTTCAGATATTGTACCACTAATTAACCCTTTGAGCATGTAGCCTTTTGTTTGGAAGCTGTATTTTTTACCTTTATTCTTTTGTTGAATCCCTAGTTTTTGCACCCTGCTTCCTTGAGCACGGTTGCTTAGACTGTGATATAAATTAATAAATTTGAAGAAAAGGATGATTAAGTAAAAAATGGTGACCAATCATAGCTGCAAAGTGATGAAAAGACTCTCTTTAAAAGAATGTGACATGAAAAAAAAAAGATGAAAAAAAATTGCGTTGAAAAAAAAATGAAACGTTCTTGATATGAGGGAAATACTTGTGAAACAATAGATGAAGATAGGGAAGAGAGGACTGAAAAATAAAATTAAGAGATGAAAATAATGGATGATGAAGTCTAAAAGTGCAAAGTGATTAGGGAAGTGTAAGTCACTATTAGATAGTTCTCCTACCCATCCCCTAGCCAACATTACAACCCGTTAAAGTCATATTTGATTATATTCGAGCATACTTAATTAGTAGAGATGTACATAATAGGCAAGCCTATGGTTCTTTGTGCATACATGTGAATTCTTTGTGAGTGAGAGAGTTGTTCTTTGATGCTAAGTCCTTAAATTATATTCATTCTTTGATTTGAGTGTATGGACCATTTATTTTTGTGAGGGCACTTGTTTCATGATAGATAGGTAATGTTATTAGCTTAATTTGACAGAGTAGGTGAGCGAGCTTAAATTTGATAAGCTAGAGTTTGTCTCTGAGGTTAGGAGGTTACAAGTTTGTTGTTTGTTTGTGACTCGTATATTTTGCACGATGATCAGGAAGTATATATCTGATGGTTTGAGTTGCTATAGAGCCTAATTGTTAGTATCGACCGAAGTGATGGTGTTTCTAGGCTTGATTTATTGAGAGTGGTTCTAATGCTTACTCGAGGACGAGCAAGAGTTTAAGTGTGGGGTTGTGATATTCGGCCAAAAATGCATATATTTACCCATTGTTGCCTCACATTTTAGTACTTTTAATCGTCTTTTGAGTGTTAATTATATTACTTTATGCTTAAAAATATATTTTAATTGTGTAGGAAAAACGGTGTGAAGATGAAGAGATTTGGAGCAAAGTTGCATAAAACGCGGAAGAAAAAGAAAGAAAATTAAAAGAATAAAAAAAAAAAGGGGACACCATTTGGTGTCCCCCCTATTGAAGACAAGAAAGAGATACACAATGCAAATAAATAAAAACGTAACTGGCTTCAAGGAAGGAATTGGAGGCGGAAAACTCACTGCTTTCAGCGCCAGGGCAAGCGTGAGGCGCTAGCCTGGACCCTGTGTGACGGGATTTTTCCTACTTCGTCCGAGACAAGGTTATTTCGGTCCTACACGATCCCAACTCGTATATAAGGAGTCATAAACTTGATTTGGAGTGGATCTAACATACTTTGAAGGGGAATTCACGTGGGGGAACACACACCACGCTTGGAGGAGGCTTCTAACTAGTTTTTCTTCTCTTTTCTTCCTTTAATTTCATAGTTTATTAGTTTTAGAGTTGTGGGGTGCTACATGAACGTTGTAGTCGAAGCTTGAATTGTTCTTATTATTTTAGCATATTGGTTTATTTATTCAATCTTGCGCTTAATTATTTGATTGCTTGATCACCAATTGAATACTATCTACGAATCTAGGATTGAACTTGGGAGAGGGAATTCTAGATTGCATATAAGATTGAGTAGAACGAGATCTTGAACCTGAGTATCGGGAACGGATTTGCTGTTAGGATAGGAATATACCTAATCGCCTTACTTGGTTATTATACGGGAATTATTAATGTGTTTTTGTTAATCCTAATTCCATAGGAATATAGGCATTAGGTTAGCTTGAATAGGCGAGTAATACTTCGGGAGAAGACTACGAGTAATATTAACCCTGTCAACCAATAAACCAGAAAAATTAATTAGACAATTTAAGTGGAAGACTCAACGGGATTGTTACTCTAGATTAGTTTTAGTTAAAGATTCATACTTTAGAAAATCGCTTGAATAGATTATTTGTTTTAGTTTAATTTAGTAAATAGTTAATCACAAGTCCTTGTGGGTACGATATCTGCACTTACAATCCTATATTACTTATCGACCACGCATACTTGCGTGTGCGTTTGCGAGCAACATATATAAAAAAAGCAATATAGGCTACTACCCTGAAGCTAAAACACACCTTTGATCTTCCCCGCACGAGCTAGCTTGTAGAGGCCTTTTGGATCTCTTTCTTCACACAATTGTAGAGGCATGTTCAGAAAAACCTGGAAAATCACGAGAAAAGGAACATTAGATAATGCAAAAGATTTCTACAATAATTCGTTCAACATTAGACTTGCCTCAATAAACTTTTTATCTGACAATAACGCACGACAAGCATCTCGATCCTTTCTGTAAGGAGATATCAGGCTTGCAATGCAAATTAATCCAGCATCTGCAAAGAGCTTTGCAACTTCCCCTGATCAAGTTTATAGAGAGTACAGATAATCAGGAACACAAAATGTTTACCAATATCTGTCATACCAAACTGAAAAGTATCTAGAATAATTTAAATTTAATCCACGAGAAAATAAAAAGGTTCCTCAAACTACTCCTATCAGGATGGAGTTGAACCTAAAGCGAGAGAAACACTCAATTCCCACTTCATCATACACTCAATTTTCATGTAACTGAAGTGAAGTGTGGAAACGAATGGAAGGTGAAATTAACCGTCACCTTCTCCAATTGTTTACAAGTCGTTTGCGTGCTTAAAATAATGAAATGAGAAATTTTGAAGACTGGACTTTTCTTCCAAATCTAAAATTCATCTTGAGTCGTAGAAAAACGGATATGCAACTTATTGTTTGCTCAAGTTATCAGCAAATATCTTCTGCAAGCATCTCAAACATCAGTAGTAGACAATTTACTGAACTCGTGGTTGTTGTACTTACTCCCTCCGTTTCAATTTATGTGAACATATTTCCTTTTTAACCTATGCCAAAAAGAATGACCACTTTCCTTATTTGGAAACAATTTACCTTTATGCAATGATTTATAGCCACACAAAATATATGTGCCTCATTTTACACCACAAGTTCAAAAGTCTTCTCTCTTTTCTTAAACTTCGTACCCAGTCAAATGGGTTCACATAAATTAAAACGGAGGGAGTATTTGGCAAGAATACACTTACCAGTCCTACGTATATTCTCAGCCCGGCTTTCTGCTGAGAACCCAAGATTCTTGTTCAGACCATGCCTAAGGTTGTCGCCATCAAGAACGTAGGAAAGCTTACCCCTTGACTGCAATTCTCTACCTAGGGAACATGCAAGTGTGCTTTTTCCTGCACAAATTCAGATTGAATCTTGAAACTAATGGTAAACATATGTTGCAAAGGTGAGCATCTGAAACTTTTGAACACCTTATAATAATAGTTCAGACTTCAGACTAAATTTCAAACTGAATATGGGAGGGCATTTTTTCCTCCACCTCTAAACACACGTCCACACTATATGAATTCGACACAGCTGATACAATAGACAAATAGTAAGCAACAACACATATTAACATCAACCTGATCCACTGAGACCTGTGATCCACACAACACATCCCTGTTGGTTGAGCAGCTTTTCCCTTTCTGCCTTACCAACTGGATTTTCATGCCAGAATATGTTTGCAGGATTTCCCACTGTAGACATCAAGAAATAACACCCTTCGCCTTTCCTAGTAACACATGAAAATGTGAGAAATTAATAAGAGCAGTACACTAGGTCAGTGGCATAGCCACATAGAGTGAAGGGTGGTCAGTTGAGCACCCTTCATCGGTAAATTATACTGTGTATATAGATCAAAATTTACTTTTTATACATATATATTAAACTTTGAACACCCTTAGCGAAATTCTTGGTTTCGCTACATAGTTAAGCAGTTGATGCATTATAACAGGATTTTCATTGACCAATTACTTCAATACAGATGAAAGGATAGTAGATTTTGGAGTATTTAAGAATCTTTATGCTTTAGAACTCCCCTTTTCCTTATGATCTTTGTAATAAAGTTCAGAGGTAAAGAAATAACTCTTAATATTAACCTAACAAGTTATGACCCAATAGGGAGTAAAACAGGCTCCTTCTTGGAAAAGCATTGACAAATCAAGTTAAAGGCATAAGAAGGTAACCATGACATACAATAACTAACATTACAAAATAGTCTAAACTTTGATTAGGAAAGATGGGGATATGAGAAGTTAGCACCTTTTGGACATTGTGATTATGGCTTCCAAAGGACAGATGTTTTATACATTGAGATTTTTTTCTCATTTAAACCCTTCGCTAAATGAAAGCCTACATAGCAATACCAATGCTACGCATCAGACCACTTCACAAGCCCTCCTACTTAATAATTATGACCCAAAAAACGAGTGAATAGTGAATTTAAAATATTAAAATCAATGACTAGATGGGTATGACTCATTCATTCTTCATACCAACTTCTACCTTATGTAATAAAAAGGCGTTTCATGGTACACATTGAGCTATATAAGTTCAGCAAAGAATGATAAGGTTCTTTCCCAAACAAAAGATAAATGTATCAATCAAATGTAGCTACTTTAGTTTCTAATTCTTTCAACGACAACATATCCGGTGTAAAAGTTTCTAAATCTTTGTTCCCCAATAAAAACACAAACGCTTCGCCATCAGCCAAATGGGATTTTGAGTACTCAAGTGAAAATGGAATCTCACTATCTTGGAATTTCCTTGAGAAAATGAAAAAAAAAATGTGGGGTAGATTTAAAATAATCCCTTAAATATATCCTTGAGCAGTTTTAGTCCTTCAAATTTGCCACTTTTACAAACTCTAGTTGCTACATTTCATGTGAACTATGAAGAAAAAAGAGATCTAACAAGAGCTCAAAAATCGAAGGGATTTGTGCAGTTTTTATCAACATTGGCAGGAACAGGAAACGCAGAAACATGCACATTAAAGCAAGAAACCATCATTTGAACACATTTTGAAGAAAGCTAATAGATAAGTAGAACAAGAATGCAAATTTATATTACCCTTCATTAAGAAACTAAATGATCAAGAGAACTTTAAAAAAAAAAAACGAGTAAAAGAATAATGGCCGGAAATATAACCATTTACCTGTGAAAGAAGAGCAGAAATATGAACTTGGAATTGGGAGTTTTTCTTTTCCTCTTCCAAATTTATGAATATGGAAACTGTAGAAAAGTGTAGTAGGCACTCTAGTCAAGCTCTGTGATTTTCCCAAGTTTTAGGCAGTGTGACGGTAGCCGTTGCTGACCGAGTACGATGTTAATTGAGTGAAAGCAACGGCCTAATATTAATTATCTTTTCTACCAGAAAAAACTATATGGGAATTTCCTTTTTTTTTTAAATTTTGTCAGCAGGAATATAAAGAATTAGCGCACATGGATGATTTTTAGTTGCGTGAAGCCTCTTTTATGTTATATATTTGCGGACTCATATATTACATATTTGGGTCCACAAAATTTTGGGACCACAAAATTACGAGACAAAAAGGAGGTCTCACCCAACTAGTATTAGTTATGTGAGACACAAAATAAAAAATTTCGTGCACAAAAAGCTCACGGACGAGAGTTAGCGCTGAAGCATTACATATCGCAAGAGTTTTCATTTTCAGGACTTGAATTTTACTAGTTTGATTAATTTTCTATTCCATTTAATTTTATTAAAATTTTTCATTAGAAATAAATGCATCTTCTTCTTTATTTAGAGAAAAATATAATGTTTGCTCTGGTGATGAACGTACTGACGCGCCACATCTAAGGGGAGGTGTCGTGGTGCATGTTATTTGCAGACGATATTGTATTGATTGACAAGACGCAAGGCGGTGTGAACGCGCAATTAGAGGTATGGAAGCAGATCCTGAAATCTAAAGATTTTAAGTTGAGCTAGACCAAGACAGAATACTTGGAGTGTAAGTTCAGTGGCGAGACTCAATGGGGGAAGGGGAGGTGAGGCTGAACTCGCAGGTCATCCCTAGGAGATGGAGTTTTAAGTACCTTGGGTCTATTATTCAGGGGATGAGGAGATCGATGAAGATGTCACACATCGTATTGGGGCGGGATGGATGAAGTTGCGACTCGCTTCTGGTGTTTTATGTGACAAGAAGGTGCCACCGAAACTTAAGGGTAAGTTCTACAGAGTGGTGGTCAGACCAACGATATTGTATGGGGATGAGTGTTGGCCAGTCAAGATCGCTCACGTCCAGAAGATGAAGGTAGCAGAGATGAGGATGTTGAGATGGATGTACGGGCACACCATGTTAGATAGGATAAAAAATGAGGTTATTCGCGACAAGGTGGGTATGGCCCCTATTGAGGACAAGATGCGGGAAGCGCGACTTAGGTGGTTTGGTCATGTGAGGAGGAGGAGCACAGACGCCCCGGTGAGAAAGTGTGAGAGGTTGACATTGGAGGGCCTACGGAGAGATAGAGGTAGACCAAAGAAGAGGTGGGGAGAGGTGATAAGGCAAGACATGACGCAACTTCAGCTGACCAAGGACATGACTCTTGATAGGAAGGTATGGAGGTCGAAAATTATGGTAGTAAAGTAGGTAGTTTAGAGTGTTCATAACAGTAGTATTGGCACGCAGTCTCGCTTTCTGTGGGCAATAGGTTTTCATGACTAACCATTATTTTCTTTCATTGTTGATTACCTTAAGATCTTGTTGTTTTTATTCTGCTTTTATACGGTTTTTTGGTACTGTTTCTTCTTGTTTATATTTTTATTAATGTGATACTTATGCTTTCCTGAATCGAGGGTCTATTGAAAACAACCTCCTTATCCTCACAAGTAGGAGTAAGACTGAATATGTTATTGAATATGTTATTGTTGTTATTGTTGTAACGTATAAAAACAGAAACTTCAAAACTTTTTGTTTCATTTCAAATGGCTTAACTTAAGATTACACTACAGTATTAGTAGAAGTAGACTTTAAATATAAATTAAAAAAAAAATTGTTTGAGAATTTGGCGACAAAGAGCTATGCCTTTAAGGACAATAAATATTTTTCTATTAAAATAATAATAAAAAATACTACTAATTCTTATGGGAGAATGGAATCTTGATTTTGCATATTGGTCGGTTACTTTGAGGTATTCACGATACCCTATTTATTAGAGCAAATATCATTTGTACCCGGTAGGTGGAAACTATTGATGTTTGGTATATTTCGATATGTGTTGATGTTATTTTACCCATGTTTTAACCATTTTTTGATGTTATTTGATCTTTAAAATGTCCAACATGGTTTAATTATTGGTTTTATGACTAACTCAGTTGTGTGTGGTGAATTAGGGTGTTTGGAGTGCAAAAAATATGAAGAAAAGGTGCTCTAGGTAGAGGAAGAGAGATTGGATGCGTCGTATCCAATCTAGAAAAAAATCAGATTTCGTGCACCCTTAGCAGTGAAGTCGGCCCATAGCATCCGCACCTGGGCAAAGCTGAGATGGAGGAACAAGGGTTGGATGCGTCGCATCCACCCTCGCATGTGAAGCTGGGAAATGGAGGACGAGGTGGATGCGTCGCATCCACCTTAGCATCAATCCCTGAAGCCGATTTGGACTAGGAATAGGAGAACTTTGACCCACGACTTTTGTACGCAATATATAAGCCAAAAATGCCTCCTTTAGGCCATCTAACATATTGGGAAGGGGGAAAAAGAGACGACAAAGCTGGGGTACCACAGAATTCATTTTGAGTTCTTATTTTTCCTTCTTTTATTGATTCTTATGCACTCTTGTGAATTATTTGATGATT